AATTGAGGACTCCACAGCTTCTGGCTTGAAAGTGATGAAAGACACCATTCACAGAAATAGAGAGTACCAGAAGTGGAACAAGTTTTGGGGAAACATAATGAGTTCCATTTTGGGTAGTTTTTAGTTTAAGTGACCTAAAAGACATCAAGTAGTAGAGAGCTGAAAAGATGTGCTGAAAGCTCATGAGAGAGGTCGAGGGTAGAGACAGAGCAACAGGAATCATCAGAATTTAATTAATACTTAAAGCCACCATAATGGATGAGATTGCTCAGGAAACAAAAGTAGAAGAATATGACCACGACAGAAGCCTTGAGGGCACCAACATTTAAAGAAGCAGGCAGAAGAGGAATAAGGAAAAAAGAAGAAAGAACTAGAGGGTTACAAGGAGAATCAGAAGTGAGTTGAACTGTGAAATCCAAGGAAGATAGTTCAAGAGTAGGATGGCTTGATATTAATGATCTTAAAGAGGACCAAGAAAGGCTAAGAATGGAAATGCGTGCAGCAGCTTCAGAGTGGTGACATCAGATATAAAGTAGCACTAGGCTAGGAAATGGGAATTAATACAATCTGCTTCTTTAAGAATAATGGTGAATAGGGAAGAAAGGAGATAAAGATAATGGCTCAAAGGAATTAGAAAATAAAGGGGAAGTTTTTGTTTTTCAAAGATTATTTGTGCATGCTGTAAGTGAAAGAAACCAGAGAGGCAGAGACTGAAACTGTAGAAAGGACAGGGATTACTACTTTTGAATTCCTATAACATCACTGTATGATTCACTTACTTGGCACTTAGCTTACACATTTGCCTTGTATTGGCAGTATTGTACATTTAGCAATGCTGGCACAAACTAAGTGCTCAAAAAATCTACTTATGATTGTTTGTCTTCATGTATCTATACATATTATCTAGCCAGTAACAGTGTACAATCATACACAAGAATGTACAAAATGAAGGAAACAGGGTGGTGGGATTGTGTAAACTTTGAGCAATATAAACCCAGAACAGTAATTTTTATCCACCACTTACTAGTACTTAGAACAAAGAAAAATTATTTTACCTCTTGGTTATCTCAGTTACTCAACTGTAAAATGGGGGAGAATACCATACACCTTGCAAGCTCTTGAGGATTAAATGAGATATTTTTAAAGCTTTTAATATACAACTTATTGCCTAAGAAGTAATTATTATTTTGATTATTTTCCAACCACCAGAGCATCTAGAAAAGTCATTAACTTTTCAGAATGTCTATGACTAATGGTAAGTAAATAATCAGGAGGCATAGCAGCCATTGCTTTATCGTATTCTAGAGAACCAAAGCACAAAATGATACCTGTTCTCAAAGTCTGGTTATTCATATACCACCAACATGATTTCTGCCATATCCAAGTACTGCAACTTAATATCTTTCTTTAAATCAACTCATTTTATGTAATCATAATCATTCTAAAAAAGTATAGCTGCGAAATGGTGAGTTTGATGTGCTGATCATTTTTTTTCTAATTACACAGTAACCATTAAAACAAAGCATTCATTCCCTTAATCACCCTAAATTATCTCCTGAATCACAATCTAAAACTGCTTTAGGTTGCTCTACTTCTGAGACCCTTAGGAAGCAATCAGGCAAGCAATTTGTGGGTTTACTTAATTTTCCTTCTACTGATTATCATTTACAAAGGTTTGCAGAGCATATAAATGAAACCAACCAAATCAAAAAATTCATCCCAACAATATACACTGGATCTTTTCATGGTAAGTCCGAAGTTGTCTAAAACTAAACAGACAACCCAGCAACTTATCTATTATTTAATCCTTCCACCTCTACTTTCTGTATCACAAATGAAAATGAGACTGGGAATAAAGGTCCATCTTGTGGTCTAGCCCGAAGAACAAAACCAAAGAGGGGAGAGATACAGTAGTGGGTTCTGTTCTGAGACACTGACATTCAGTCAAAAGAAATAGTAGGCATGCAAATCATCCAAGTGAAAAATTCCCACCTTCAAGACAGTAGAACATTCCTCTGAAAAGGGAAACCACAATCGGTTATTAATACCTTTCAAGTCTGTGCTACAATCCAGGGAGTTCTTCATCACTCCAATAAAAACAAAAACCGGGAGAGAACTTCACTCATTGATAACATCGACAGACACTTTAGAGATGCAATTTTAGAGCTGGTCTTAAATCCATTATATTAAGAGCCACACTACACTCTTAAAAAGTCACTTCTACAATCCATTCTCTTAGGATCATTGATCTATTCATCATGGAAAAAAACAAGGTACTCTGCACCCAAAGTACACAGGACATTATGGAGAATACAAAAAGATCAGAGTTTGTTTATAATCTAGCACAGGGAATAAGATTTATACATTCCCCAAGAGTGCTTCTAAGGACTAGAGAGAACTGCTGGGAATTTTTCCCCAACATTTTTATTATGAAAAACTTCAAACATATGGCAAAGTTGAAATAATTTTACAGTGAACATCTGAATACCCACGACTGAGATTCTACTATTTTTACTATACCTTATTTATCACATATCTATCTACTCAATCCATCTTTTTTATTAACTGCTGGGATTTTGAAAATGAGACTGTGTGGTGAAGTACGACAAAAATACACTAAGGGCTGCTTCTCAAAAGATTTTGACTGATGGGGTATATAAACAAAAAAAACTTTGGAAACCACAAACCCATACTCAGTGTTCAACCCTCCTGCCAACCTCCAATCAAAATCTATTCAGAGCTCATAACTGGCTATTCGGGTCTCCACACCCTTGTCCACTATCTGAACTCTCTTCAGTCCTCTTCATGGCTTAGCACCAATCCGTGAAGCCTTCCCCAACTTTCACTCCCTTAATCAGAATTAACCATGCCCCCTATAGGGGCCACATTTTTCATCATTTGCAATTAGGCCACAGTATCTGCAATTTATTATCTCTTTCACTAAACCTTGCCCTCCTTGAGGACAGGGTCCCCTTATTTACCTCTCAGTCCTCAGCAAGCAGCTAGTACTTAGCCTACAGCAAGCACTCTAATAAAAGAGTGAGTTAATGACCTGAACCGTCTTTAACCAGGAGCCAAGGAAGAGTTTAGCTGAGTGGGGAAATGATCTAATCACAGTGGCACTTTAGAAAGATTCATTTTATAGCAGCACTGTTGTTTAGAGTATGAGCTTTGGAGGAAGACCACATAGGCACAAATCTCAGCCCTGCTACTTATCTCTTGGTGACTTTGGGCAAGTTTCTAAGCCCGTGCCTCAGTTTCCTCATTTAGAAAACAGGGATAATACTGCTTCACAGGTTATTGCGAGGATGATGAGGTAATTTTTTTAAAAGAAGCGCATAGAGCGGCACCTAACACATAGTAAATATTCCATCAATGTGGTCACTATTGCCAGCAATCAGGTTAATAAAGAGGTTAAAAATTCCTTACAAGCCTGGGTGGTAGCAGTGAAAACAAAGTGGAAAGAATGGCCATGAATAAAGAATCTACCTTAAAATGTTCAGTCGGAAGAGCAAGCAAATGTGTGCCTTTTTTTTTTTAACCTTGTATGAGATAGCTCACTTTTGGATGTGTTTAAACTAAAACAACTATAATCTAGGCACTCTAGGCACAGATTTGATGCTGAGAACGAGTCTAGCAAGACTGAACTCTAGACACAACCTTTATAACCACTGCAAGCTTCTCTGTTTAGGTCTTTTAGTCTCTGAGCTAAAACTTGTTTCCTTCTCATTACTCCAGCAGACACCACTTCTTAAGTGATTCCCACAATCCCCTGTTCTGTCTAACTGTAAGGACAACCCCCAGGAACCTTGGTTGGGGAAATAGGTTTGCGGTTTCGTTCTATCCAACCCTGTACTACTTTTCTTTTTCTTCTTCCTGCCCACCTCCTTTACTTCCCCAGCCTTGCTATTCTCTACACGTAGGAACTTGAAACCTAAGAGTATGGGAAAGCAACAGAGCAGCAGCAGTGGTGCCAAGAACTGGGGATGCTGCCAAGCTGTTCCCCAGGCCCCATATGCAGTGACCCAACTACATGCAGATTGGACGTAACTGCCTATGGGGCCTTGCACACTTGATACTCCTTTTTGCTTCTGCTCATTTTCTTCCTCCCACTTAAAGCAACCTCCTCCCAAGCTTGTGACTCATTCAAATCCAATCCATCTTTGAAGACCCAGGTGAGGTCCGACTTCTTCAGGGAAGCCTCCCCTGACCACTTTAGTCCAAAGATATCCCACCAACCCCACATACAGAAAACAGGAACTGTACTTACTGTCTGGACCATAAGGCATAATCACACATTGCTATAATTAAATGTTTCATGTGTATACATTTAACTTTCCAAGGGTATGAGCAGTGTCTCACATGTCTTTAAAACTCTTACACTCAGTGCGTTAATACTTGTTGAACAGTGACTGAATCAGTGGGTTTTTGTTTATGTGTTTAGGCTAAGGCAGGAGGAAGAAGATGCATGTTGAAATGAGAAAGGCTGAATGGACAGATGGGTAAAAAAGCAGCAGTGGGTGAAGACGGAAAAACAATGTAGAAGAAAGGTATTCAGTTCACACCTGCTTAAGTGATTTACTGCGAGGTTGGAAAGAGATACAGGAGAGAGATGTCAACTGGAAAAAGCAGGGTAAAGGCATTTCAGTTTGAGGCAGAAGACAGCAGGAGAAAGGTGAGGCTACAAAAGAAATCCTGACTAGATTCTGCTGAAACCTAGTGGTAGGCCAATTGGATATGGGAACCTAAAGGGAGCCACTGGGATGACATGAGTAGAGATATGGCCATGTAGGTGAGTGAATCCATAGGGGGTAGTATGAAGGGGGGAGGTAAATGGATAAAATGGTAGAGGGTAGTTAGGCAGGTAGGTTAGCTGTTGGGCGGGTAGGTGGGTGGGTAGATGGGAGGCAGGGCAGTGGGTAAGTGGGTAGGTGGTTAGGTATTTAGTTGGGAGGGAATAGGTGTGGGGCTTATTATTTAAGATCCGGCCCCTCCCTCACCTTGACCCGGAAGCGGATGAGTGCTAGCCTCACGCAGTGGCTCAGGCAGGCCGGTGGCAGGAACCAGGCCCGCGGTGGAGGGGTGCCCTTGTTGCCCACGTGTCCCACGATCAGTTGCGCTGTCTGCCGCTCGGCCTGGCACCGACGGCCCCACTCGGCCAGCCGGTCCTTGCCCAGGCCCCCCGGGAACATGACCACGAGCTCCAGGCCGTCGCCGCCAGGATAGGCACAAGCCTGGCACAGCGCTGACAAGTAGCCCAGCATGGCGTTCCATTGGCCGCCACACACCCAATCCGTCTGGTAGCCGCCATAGAGCCGCGGCAGCGCCGAGCCGGCGTCCACCAGCACCCGGGCCCCGGGCAGCGGAGGGGGCGGCGGCGGCAGCGGAGGGTGCAACCCGGGCTGCGCCTGGCCGTGATGGTGGAAGTGGTGAGCGGGGTGATGGTGCCGAGTCGGCCCCGCGCCCCCGGAGTAGGCACCCAAGGCAGCGGGCGGAAGCGGCGGTTGCAGAGGCGCAGAGCCCCTGGCGGCGCGTGGAGCCCCGGGCGCTAGGGCGGCAGTCGGCGGCAGCTGGCGGTGCAAGTGCTGCTGCTGCTGCTGGCGCGAGACCGTGCGCGCGAGTTTGAGGAGGTCCACGGGCACCACGGCCCCGGGACAGCGCTTCTCCAGGAACTCTTGGAAGCCCTGGACACCCATGCTTCGTCGGTGGGCAGACGAGACAGCGGCTGCGCGAGCAGGCTAGGCGACGATCTGGGCGCGAAGCTGGGGGCGGGCGCGTGCGCACTCCGCGGGGGGCAAAGGGGGGCGGGAAAAGGATTCCCGAGGGGAGGGGTGAGGAAGCGAGGGAATGAGGGCGGGGAGAGGAGGAAACCACAAATTGGATTTGGGTGGAGAGAAGGGGAGAGGCAGACCGGACCGGGGAGAGGCTGGGAGGATAAAAGCGAGGATGGGCTCTAGTCACTTCTCTTTTTTCTCCTTTCCGGTCGCTCTTCTTCGCGCTTTAGAAAGGGTGAAGCCTCTTTCTTCCACCTCCGGGAGCCATGTTGCCTCGTCTTCTCGGTGGTACACGCTTTCTAGCTGGAGGAAGGGGAGCGAGGAGGGGGCGGAGCGGGGAGAGGGGCATCTTGGTAGTTGTAGTCTTCTCTATGGCCTTGGGATGTAGTCGAGGAACCAGAATACCACCCTTCTCAGCCCTTGTGCTCACAGGGTCTCAGGAAGCGGGGCGTGATGATGAGTGTTTAGGAGTTGCATTCCAGCTCCTTGCATCTCACTGAGCTGCTTAGGTTATTTACTGCTTTTTCCTGGAAAAAGAGTTTTGGGGGAAGGATTGATGCATCATGGGAATGGAAGTTAGAGTGGATTGACTGAACTCAGCTAAAGTGAGCTAAAACTCCCCGGGAGGGAGGATTTTCCCCTTAGTGGAAAGATGATATGTAAAAGAGCTGTTGGTCCCAATTAAGAAAGACGTAACTGGTCGGGTGCGGTGGCTCACGCCTGTAATCCCTCCGAGGCGGTCGGATCACGAGGTCAGGAAATGGAGACCATAGTGGCCAACATGGTGAAACCCCGTCTCTACTAAAAATAAAAAATTAGCCAGGTGTGGTGGCGCGTGCCTGTAATCCCAGCTACTCGGGAGGCTGAGGCAGGAGAATAGCTTGAACCTGGGAGGTGGGGGTTGCAGTGAGCCAAGATCACGTCACTGTACTCCAGCCTGGTGACAGAGCCAGACTCCATCTCAAAAAAAATAAAGAAAAAGAAAAACTTACATTATTTACTTGCCTAAGGCAATGCAGAGACAAAAATAAAATCGAATATCCTTGCCCTAAGCATCTCTTTGGGCAGGGAGATAATTACCAACACAAATTACATTACAAGTTGTCCCTTTTTGGTACTCCCAGATCTATGTCCTATGGTTAGGGCCTTTGGTTTCCAAACTTCGTTGTGTTTTAGTCTGTCGGGAGCTTTTCTAAATAGCTGCAAGGGCTCTAATTTCATGTGTATAGAGTCATAATCTTTTGAAAAATGTATTTTCAACATACTGAGATGAAACAGATGCAGTGCCTGTCTTCTTTCTGGCTTTTAGGGCTGGCCCACTCTTTCAGCAGGAATAGAGCAGAAAACAAGATCTGAAATGAGTAGTAGCCAGATCTGGCTTGGAACTTACTGGAAGGTAGGAGATAATGGCAGGCAGAGTTAGAATACAGAAGTGCAGAACCCAAGAGTTATCAGGATAAATGAGATAGGGGAATACTCTATTAGGATGCAAAAGCAAAAAAGCTTCAAGCTACATAAAAGAAATTCTAAAATAGTGGAGATGGAACAAGCCAGATTGTCAAAGAATAAGTAGATGGCAAGGCAGTGTACATAGTTAACTCTTGAAAGCAAGCAGTGAAAGGAGAGAGCAGTGGCTTGAAGGGATGAAGGATGGAAGGAATGGAGGTTTTTTAGTATAATGGACACCTGTGGGACTGTCTGCCTAGGCCCTCTTTTCCGGGAATTGACCCTCCCCTTCCCACATTTATAGGGTTATGACAAAAACTGTCATGTTCCTATAACCATAGCTTATTGGGTCAGAGGTGGGCACCTAATCCAACCTGGGGCAATCAAAATCTCATTTTCTAGAAATTTGGAATTGGACCAGAGATATCAGCTTTTCTCTAATTGTAAAGCTTGGAAGCTGTCAACTAATTTTCCCACCAGAGGGACAGAAGTGAAAGATGCTGGTCTGCAGAAAGAGAGAAAAAATACAGACTTTCCGAGAAGAGCAGAGGTGAGAAATAGAGTCTGCATTGTGTTCAAGTCCCAGGTTCCAGATAATGCAGTAGTGTGATTACAGCTCACTGCAGCCTCGGCTTTATTTTTTGTAGAGACCCTAAAATGTGGAACAGATAAGATCAGAGACCTCTGCATCAGTTGATGGGAAGGAAGTTGGTATTCTGTGTTATTTGGCAGTGAAGCATTTGCTTATTGCTCTTGGGACTCAAAACAGCAGCCACTTTGCTTGTATCAAGAGATCTGCATTTGCTGAGGGTCAGATATTCATTGGCCTTGCTGAATTACAGCAGAATCTCAATCTTGCCTCAAAGGTTTCACCAGTTAGGAAACTGGCATCAAGGCAATTGGAACGAAGTTATCTATATCTGCCTCCTAAGTAGTACTCCTTGTTCTCCAGCTCTCCTAAATGTGACGAATAGAAGCCACAACAGGATGATCCAGGCTATTCCCTTTAGCAGATCTGAAGCTTCAAAGAGCCTAACTTGGCAAGATTCTTGGCACTTGTTTTTAGCATTCTGAGTCCCCTCAAATGAAACCAGCAGGCAGTCAAATAAGGTTTTAAAGAAGCTGTATCACTAGAAAATCAAATCTGTGAATAGGGGCCATAATTGATCAGCCAGAGCAGTGATTCTCTCTTTTTTTTTTTTTTTTGAGATGGAGTCTCACTCTGTCGCCCAGGCTGGAGTACAGTGGTGTGATCTCGGCTCACCGCAACCTACACCTCCCAGGTTCAAGCAATCAAGCGATTCTTCTGCCTCAGCCTCCCGAGTAGCTGGGACTACAGGCATGCGCCAGCACGCCTGGCTAATTTTTGTATTTTTAGTAGAGACGGGGTTTCACCATGTTGGCCAGGGTGGTCTTGAACTCCTGGCCTCAAGTAATCTGCCCGCCTTGGCCTCCCAAAGCGCTGGGATTACAGGCATGAGCCACCGTGCCCGACCAGAGCAGTGATTCTCAAAAGTATGTCTCTGGAGCAAGCACATCAGCATCACCTGCAAACTATTAGAAATGTACATTTTCAGGCTTCACCTCAGACCTCCAGGATCAGAAACTCTGAGTGTGGGGCCAGAAATCTGTGGTTTAAGTAACATTAGTTAAAGCAGTGAAGACAGATTTTATTTAGTAACTACTGACAGAAGAGGAAAGAGCTGAGCTTCATTCTGATTTGCACAGAGGTTACTGGGCATTTTAGAGGGAAAATGAGGGAGTAGGGAGGGAAAGCAAGCAGGGACTCAGTAGAGTCATGGAAGTGAAAAATTACAGAGGGTTTGTCGGTGTAAATGTGATTAGGCCAGCTGTGTCTGCTACCTGGCAATTACTGAAGTTAGATTTTTATCCTCCCAGAGACTGGGAGACAGAGGCCCTACCCTACATTTCAAAGGACTGGCTTCTAGGCCCTTGAGAAACAGACACTCTGTAGTTTGTAGGAAATACATAAACATCTCAAAGGAACAGAGGAAGGATTTACAATTCTAAGCCCCTTTTTACTAAATGCCCTAAGAAAGGGAAGCAGGCCAGGCTTGGTGGCCCACGCCTGTAATCCCAGCACTTTGGGAGGCCCAGGCAGGTGGATCACCTGAGGTCAGGAGTTGGAGACCAGCCAGGCCAACATGGTGAAACCCCTTCTCTATTAAAAATACAAAAAAGTTAGCCGGGCATGGTGGCACAAACTTGTAATCCCAGCTACTGGGCAGGCTGAAGCAGGTGAATTGCTTGAACCCAGGAGGTGGAGGTTGCAGTGAGCTGAGATTGTACCACTGTACTCCAGCCTGGGTGACGGAGAGAGACTCCATCTCAAAAAATAAATAAAAATTTAAAAAAATAAATAAATAAATAAAAAGAAGCTGAGGCCTATCCTCAGGTGTGGACTAGAACAAACTGAAAGTTTTTCCTGACAGGGAATTCAAAAGTGAGCTAGGGCTGGGTACAGTGGCTCATGCCTGTTAATCCCACACTTTGGGAGGCTGAGGCGGGCAGATCACTCGAGGTCAGAGTTCGAGATCAGCCTGGCCAACATGGCGAAACCCCATCTCTACTCAAAACACAAAAATTAGCCGGGCCTGGTGGCGCACGCCTGTAATCCCAGCTACTTGGGAGGCTGAGGCACGAGAATCACTTGAGCCTCGGAGGTGGAGGTTGCAGTGAGCTGAGATTGTGCCTCTGCACTGCAGCCTGCTCAGTAGAGTGAGACTCCGTCTCAAAAAACAAAACAAAAAGTGAGCTGGGTCTTCTCAGGGATTCAATCTTAGACTGTCAGAAACCATGCTAATGTTTGGTGAAGTCTCAGTGCAGGGGTTTGAATTGAGTGTACCTGCTGAGTTTTTGCAGGTCTTACTTAATAGCCCTTTAGGTGAACTCTTGAGTTTGAGAATCACTGCTTTTCTAGAACATACTCTCAGGCCCATGTCCAGACTGGTTAAGCAAAGAGGTACATCAGTAAATTGGTTGCCATTTTTTATATGCCTGTAATTTCTTTTATTCCAATCCAGGTGGAAATGGACCTGGTGGCTGATAATGGTGTGACCCCTCCTTTCCTAAATAGGCTTTTTTTTTTTTAGATGAAGTCTCGTTCTGTCGCCAGGCTGGAGTGCAGTGGCGTGATCTTGGCTCACTGCAACCTCCGCCTCCTGGGTTCAAGTGATTCTCCTGCCTCATCTTCCCTAGTAGCTGGGACTGCAGGCATGTGGCACCACACCCAGCTAATTTTTGTATTTTTAGTAGAGACAGAGTTTCACCACGTTGGCCAGGATGGCCTCAGTTTTTTTGGCCTCCCAGAATGCTGGGATTACAGGCGTGAGCCACTGTGCCTGGCCTAATGGGCTTTTTTTTTTTTTTTGAGACGGAGTCTCACTCTGTCGCCCAAGCTGGAGTGCAGTGGTGGGATCTGGGCTCACTGCAACCTCCGCCTCCCAGGCTCAAGCAATTCTTGTGCCTCAGCCTCCCCAGTAGCTGGGATTACAGGTACACGCCACCACGCCTGGCTAATTTTTGTAGTTTTAGTAGAGATGGTGTTTCACCATGTTGGCCAAGCTGGTCTCTAACTGTTGGC